GCGATAATCAATCAAACTAAATGAGTTTTTTTGTATGGGTAGACCTTAAATTAATGAGCAATCGTAAAGGTAATCAACATCAATAAATTCTTATAACGAAATCTCATACTGTTCTGTTTGAATCATTTATTCTTCGATTTAAATCCGCCCCATCAAATCATCCCTCTGCCCATTGTTAAAAATAAGCATCCATTATATTCTTGAACTTATAATAATAAAATAATTATTATGATGATGAATACTCCTTTGGGGAAAAGATGGAAAAGATCACAGTCTTCCAGGAGTCTATTTGATTTGCGGGTTCAAACCTCATTAGGTTTTTTTCTACATAAATTTTAAAAAGTTGAATAACATAAAGGCGAGTTCATCTTATTTTTTACTATTCATTTATTTTCTATTTTGTTCACGAATACATATCAAACATCGTATAGAACATAAACATATCAATAATCATTTCTTATTATTATGAAAAAATTATCCAATCTGATAATTCACAAACGAGACAATTTTTTATGAGCGTTACAGATCCAACCACAACGTCTCCTCTATGAATCGATGTTGGATGATGTTGATAACATCGGCGGTACACTTGAATTTCACTCGTTTTTCAACCTCTCTGCCAATGCCTCCCATAATTCATCAATATGTTGCCATGCAAATTTCAAGAAGAGTCTTTTCAAGAAATATATATAATCTGCTTGCAACATTTACCAATCCCGTATCCCGTATCCAATCGAAGAAGTCAGCTGTTGAATTCAAAGTCGAATTAAAATACTTTGTGTACCATTTCATTAGCTTCCCAAAATTTTCGAATGAACAGGTGTAATTCTTGATGAGACTGTGCTCTCGATGATCCCAGCAGCTGGGGGTAGTTATATATTTTTCTTTTGAGAAACCCAAATCATTCAAGTCGATTATCACCTTATTAGTATAAGATTGCAACCATTGTCTCTTCTGCAGCCCATTCGCGAAAATGATTGTCACTCCTTTCGTGATCCACGTAATTGCATCTTGAACCTCATCGTATGGTATGGATCCTGTTTCCCATGCGATACCATGATGATTATTAATAATCCACTTATTTGTCCTGTGGTATTTCTTTGGTAGTTTATCCCATTCACACGGGGGTTGGAAAAGCGAAAAGGCACACTCATTTTTTTCCAATTGCTTGAACTGCCAGTTCTTTCACAATAAATTTCTCAATTGGGCATTGAAAACCCTGCATATCCAGCACCCATATTATAATTACCCACCAAAAGCCCAGATCCTTATGACAACAAATCAAATTTTTGTTTGATGCTGAATCTGGTGGAATCGGTTGATTTTATAGGGACTCCACCCGGACCCCAACCGTTTTCAACTGTCATTGAATATTCTCGAATAGTCGAGAATATTCTCGAAAAAATATGCTATGAAGCAATCTCTATTCCAAAACACCAATGATTCATTACAATATATTAGATCTATAAATTAATAATGTGCCCCTATATTTCGGGATTTATAATTGCATTCAAAATCTTAATATTTCAATATTTTGTATGTTGGTAGTATTCAGTTACCAAAGCAGTAAATACTTCTTACATAACCTTAACAAATAGTAGTAAACACGATGTCTGTCGATAAGTAATATTTGAGGCACTGCATTATTTTTGCATTTTAATTAAAGAAAAATGCTGCCGAGGTTACTCAAATGATTTGTAGTGCTCTTGGAAAAAATGCTTTAAGACATAAAACGTATAAAAAGTGGTACCAGAGGTTTAGAGACGGAGATTTCGATATTTCGGATCGAGAACGGCCTGGTAAACCGCAAAAATTCGGCGATGAAGAACTCGAACAACTCTTGGCTGAAAATTCTGCTCAAAGCCAAACAGAGCTTGCACTATATCTCGGAGTGACTCAACAATGCATTTCTCATCGCCTACATCAACTTGGCAAAATTCAAAAAGAGGGTAGATGGGTTTCTCATGATCTGAGCCCCAAAAATAAGGAGCGACGACTGGCGACGGCGTTATCTCTGTTCACTCGATGTAAAAGAAAAGATTTCTTATGCAAAATCATTACGGGCGATGAAAACTGGGTGTTATACGACAACCCTAAACGCAAAAAATCGTGGGTGAATCCCGGCAAACCATCGACGTCGACTTCGAAACCCAATGTCTATACGAGAAAAGTGATGCTGAGTATCTGGTGGGATATGAAGGGTGTCATATATTATGAGCTACTTAAACCTGGCCAAACTATTACTGCGAAGGTTTATCAACAACAGATTATTCATTTGAATGATGCATTGGAGCAAAAGAGGCCATATACTGGCAACGGAAGTAGACAAGTGATTCTCCAACATGACAACGCTCGACCGCATGTCGCCAAAGCGACTAAGGATATTATTTGTGAATTAGGATGGGAGATTCTCCTTCACGCGGCTTACTCGCCTGATTTCGCCCCATCCGACTACCAGCTATTTCGGTCTCTTCAACACCACCTAGCTAATGAGCACTTCAAAACAATCGACGAGGTCCGAAAAAGCATCGATGAATTTATTGAGTCAAAACCGCCAAGTTTCTTTCGGGAAGGAATTCGTTAGTTGCCAATAAGGTGGAGTAAAGACATAAAAAATAATGGGGAATATTTCGACCGTTAAATGTCTTTTTGTTTTTTTATAGTAAACTCTGATTTTCATGAAAAAAAGCACCTTATTAATTTGTACACCTAATCATATTTAATGCAAGTTCCGACCGGTGTCATATTTTCATACGATTCCCAACAGAATTTATGAAGTATCCCCACCACGCGTGAATCCATGAGTCACCAGCCAACGGTCCGAACCGATGACGTCATCCATCTCGAATCTTCCGCGAGCGTGGCGCCGCCTGTTGGTGGTAAGGCGATAGGGAACCAACACTCTGAATGGAGATGGATGACGTCATCATGGGACATTTAAGAATCTTAGAGAATATTCGAGAATAATCGAGAATCATCTGGTATCTTCTCATATTTCACACAAGTCTCGACAGGACTTACGAGATACCCCCACCCCTGCTGAACAATGAGTCATCCGTATGTCTCGAATGTTCTGGATGACGTCATGCTTCGAACATTTCCCCGACGGTACTGCTACCTGGATGACATCATCTTTCTAGAACATTCCACTGATCGAGGTGCCGCCTGGTGGAGGTTGGGCGAATCTATCCAGAACCCGTCTTGCCTATCTACTACCGTGACAGCGTGAGGATCAATGTAAATCAAGGAAGAAGGCCAAGGGAGATAAGAGCACACACTCCATTGGTTCTTTTACTGTACGGGAGAGAAACGGAGACTTTGATTCGTAGAAACATATGAGAAGACGAAAACTGACCCTGAAGAGACAACGAAGCCCGGATATTCGTCACACTGCATGACGGCATCAACTGAAAACCAACCCCCTTTGTAAACATAGTGAAAATTGCATGAAGTAAGAGTTAGTATTAAGGAAAATTATAATAATCAGGCCTCAGAACCAATCTGAGGAGTGACTCCAGCCGGAGAAAACGACTGAAAAAATAGAAAATTGATTCTTGGCGAATGCTTCCCACTATGAGTACCCTAATAATTGCGCAGTGACAGAGGGAATTTTATGGTGCGAATATCGTGAATAAATCGTTGCGATCGGATATATTTTGAGTGTGAATTAGGTAGTAAGGAAGTTACAGGGGATTTTTCTCCGGTTTTTTGACGATAGAATATCAATAATTGATTCGGAAAAGTCCGAGGACAATTGTATCGTCACTGGCTTTACTAATGTCGCCATTTTGGCCACTTTGGGTAATTTGGGGGAACATAAAATTGATATAATTTTATTCAAGTTTATCAGAGTAATCGTTAATGAGGTCGAATTACTAAATATCCCGGAAAATAAGTTGAATTATTGAGAATTTAGATAAAACAATAGTTTGGGTTCGAGATAAATTTCAGTTATATTTCTGATAAAAATGCGAACTCGAGAATAGTTTTATGAAATGGAGTGGAAGCGTGGTGATTCGAGGGACGCCTCGAATTCACAGGTTTTTGTATTGTGTTTTCCTTGAATATTTCTTTTGTTTTCACCCTTCAATTGATTTTGGAACATTTATTTGTGGTTCAAGGCCCGAACAACGATTTGACTTATTGAATAAATAACGTATGTATTTGATTCGTTGGAAAATATCTCTTTTGATTTATCTGGCCCTAAACCACGTAATTCAGCCCGAACAAAATTAATCATTGGATAATAATTGATAAAGTTATAGTTTCTGACATAATTTAGTAATATTTTGGCCCGAACAAGATTCAAAGGTAGGTATAAATGATAATAATTTAATGCCAAAATGTATTTATTGTGGAAAATCCACCTTGTACGTGATTTAAAGCTGCAAGACGGTTGAAATTGGATTGTTTGGAAAAGATCATTTGTAATTTCAATTAATACTGATTTCAACGTCACAACTCTTACCTGCGCTATAGTTAAGGATGATCTAAAATGGCAGGGGTGATTCAGGAACTAGTTGCGAATACTATAGAAATAAATGAATACATTTTCTGAAATTGGAAAAGGAAAAAACTACAAATTAAAAAGTCCCGACGAATAAAGTAAAAATTCAATGAGAGCATAAATTAATGATTATTGAAATAGTAGAATTGAAAACTTCAATACTCATTAACTCACAACATGAGAATATTGTAGATCGAAATATTTTAAACTGAACATAGTGAGGACTAATCATTGAAAATTACCAACCCCTCAAGGTTGTAAGTCAATTGATTTGTGAAAGAAATAATAAATACTAAGGGCTTGATTTGAATGGGTTCGCTCCTTTTTCCGCCCTTACGTCCTCAATTTTGTTTATCATTTCCAATCTTGTTTTGTTCATATCAATAAATTTACACCATTTTCTGTCTCGGGTTTTTAATTGTTAGTTTTCAATTTTTGGCAAAGAGGAAGAAATTCTTGACTATTCTTCATAATATTTCTTTGAAGATCTTACCAACAAGTTTGTCTTTGTAATGAGCTTGAAGGGCTTTTTGCATTGTAGCGATGAAGTCCAATTTTCCAGTCCTCTTTTTTGCATGAACTTTTAATACTTTCTCTGGTGTCCCTTCACTCACATAGAGATTCGCTAACAAAGCGAATCTTGTATCGTTGCCTAGGGACTCCTCAAGAATGCACTCCTCATTTCGTCCAACCCAGGATAGTCGGGTCTCATTTTTAAGGTCCTTTGCAGACACGACAACGTTCATCATCATCTGGATAATTTCATTTTGTCGAAATACAGAATTATTAATGAAAGGATGTGCATTCATGAATGGTTTTTGTTGCATGATAAAATATTTAAGATCATTTTTAAATAATTGAACTCACTTCACAATTCTTGGAGAGCCTCGGCCACGGTCCAGCCCCAGCGCCAACAACAAACGCCCTTTTTTCCATCTTCTTATCATTTATGCAATCCAAAATTGATTTTAATTCATAAATTTTGTGACGTTGAGGAATGGGAAGTAAGAATGAAGGTCCGCCAACTTCTAAAATTTTTTTGACGCCTCCAAGACCTTGAACACGATTAGGAAATGAATCACATGTACAAAAATACATCCTCAAAAACATAAATACACATCCCCTTTAGAACGATCCGTGTCCGTAACCAAGATTTTTCCTATGGTTTCCATGATAATTCTCTTCTTCCCGGTCAACAAGGCATATATATGGTATACTCATTCGAAAGCTTATTAAATGAGCTACAAATTAACACCTGATTCATTAGATTCTATGCATTTTTCATTACGTTATGAGAGGTATAGACGAAAATTGAAGTTTTATGTTTTTTCATAAAATTCAACTTTGGTTAAATTTTTTCATAGTATGAGGGGATATGAACGGAAATATCCATATATCATTTTGACGGGAATTTTTTGGCCTTCAAAATGAGATATTTTGAATTCGCTTCGATGGAGTTTCCATCGAGTTATTGACGATCATATCCATTTTTAACCCGATGTCACACTCTAAAATTCGCATTCTTCATCATATATCAAGGCTTTAAACTTGACCAGTGGGGATATATCATGTACCAATTTGAAGATCACAATGAGATCTTCGAAATGAGACCTGAATTTTTTTATTCCATCCGCTGGATTTCAAGTTGTGAGGGATTGAGTGTCGAATTTTGCATGTCACGTTTTTAAAATTTTCAATTTTTTCATCTTAAATCAAGAGAGATGCCATTCTTTTCTTCCATTTAAGGAACATATTGTATACTTATTTGAAAGAATATTAGTTAAGCTTCAATTTCATGCCTGAATTATCTGATTACTAACATTTATCATAAAGTTATGATATAGTTTCAAGAGAAACTTGNATATTTGCATTCTTCATTCGTTTTCGTGGCTTCAAACTTGACCGGTAGGAACATAACATTTATCACTTCAGAGATCGCAATGAGCTCTTCAAAATAAGGCTTACATTCCAGCCGATAGATTGAGTGTTATGTGGCATTATGTACTGAATTTTGCAGATCACGTTTTCAAAATTGTTAATTTTTCAATGTTCATAATATAATAATCCAGAGAGCTGACGTCCTCCAAATACATAAGAATATCCATATATTATCATACAACCTTCTCTTAATGTAATATAATGAGTTATTGAAGGAGGTCGGATATTATTTATTCCATTCAGTTCCAAAAGTGAAATTATCAGCAAAATGAAGTATGAGTTCCATTTCAATTGAGTATCTGTATAACGAGATTTAGGTTAAAGCGGTTTGCCGTCGAACCGTTTGAAAATTTGATTTTGTTGTGGATGAGAAGAAGGATTGAAGGAGGATTCCCGTTTTTTCAACTGATTAACAACAATAAAAGGTCCTTTTCATATCGCATTTGATAAAAGATAGAATTGCAGTTAAGTAGAAAAGTACGCAGATTTCTGATTAATCTTCAATGTATTTCAGTTATCAATCATATGATTTGAGAGATTATGAACGATGAAATGATTCATTGAGAGTGGATAATGAAAATGAAATGAGAATGTTTATTGAAGATTTTTGAGATTAATGAGATTCAAAAGTAATAATGTCAGATCGAATAGAAAAGAAAAAATTATTCCCAATGATGAATGTAAATTTAGAAAATTATGATGATGGAAATGCTGAAGACCAAGATAAAAATGAAAAAGTAGTTAAAACTGTTGCTCAGCGACAACGACGTTGTAGAGAAAAAAAACGGACATTGGAAATGTATGAGGAGAATTTAGAGCGTGAGAAAGCAAATGAGAGACCGAGCCAATATCGTATGCGTAAACGCAATGCAGCTGTTAGAGCAGAAGAATTAATAATGACGAGTGAAAATTCAGATAGTACCAACCATGGAAATAGTAGCGGTACAGCGAACATTAAAACGCGGAAATCCGTACAACCGAATGTTGAACGACAGCGCCGTTGTAAAGAGAAGAAACAGGCGTTGGAAATGAAAAACCATATTATAGAAGGGAAAGCAGTTAATGAGAGACAGAAACAATGCCATGGATGCAAACGCAATGAAACAATTATAGAAGAAAAAAAAGTAACGAATAAGATGAATCGAAATTCAGAAATCAATGATGTAGGGAGCACTTCTGAAGCTAATATTGAGAATAAAAAATTGGCTGCAACAGTTGCTCAACGACAAAAGCATTGTAGAGCAAAAAAACGTATATTGGAGATCGAAAAAACGGAATTGAAGCGTGAAAGAGCTGTTGAAAGACAGAGAGCGTGTCGTGAACGTAAGTGCAAAGAAGCAAGTGCTCTGCAAAATGCAATAATAGACCAGATGGAAAAAAATGCACGAAAACAAAAAAGATATCGTGAGAGAGATAGGGGAGTAGGAATTTTGAGTAGGAAGAAAGGAATTTACCGTATGAGGACAAAATANAATATCGTGAGAGAGATAGGGGGGTAGGAAGTTTGAGTAGGAAGAAAGGAATTTACCGTATGAGGACAAAATATTGTTTTGATGACAATAACAGGAGTATTAATGATGGAGTGGCTAAAAACTATCTCGGGCCAATGGATGTACCATGTCGGCATTGTAATGCGAAACACTTCGCTGGGGAATGGGTAACTACCAATGGGAAAGATTCATTCAATGATTGTTGCAGTCACGGTGATGTAATAGCGGCCGCCTTCTCTGATTACCCTGAGGAATTTAGAGAATTGTTCGATATAAAAAATGCGAATTCAAACAATTTTTTCAAGCATATTAGAAGTTATAACAATGCTGTATCATTCGCCTCATTTCATGCTAATTTAACGAATTTTGAAGGTAGAAGACCAGGTCCTTATTGTTTAATGATCCAAGGGCAAATTTATTATCAAATGAATACAACATTGTATCCAGAAGGAGAAAATGGGGTACCTAGCTATGGCCAACTGTTCATGGTAGATGCTCATGCAGCCAACCATTGTCGGATATCTGCAATGAACGAGTTGAATACTTCGATTTTGGATATACTTGACAAAGTTATTCGTGAAAATAATAAATTCGTCAGTGCGTATTACATGATGAAAGAAGTAATAGAGATGGAGGAAGAGAGATGTGCCCAATCTGGAACGCCGATGCCAGAGATAAAAATGATTTTCAATAGCAAAAAAAAATACGGATAAACATCGATACAATCCCNTCATTCGCCTCATTTCATGCTAATTTAACGAATTTTGAAGGTAGAAGACCAGGTCCTTATTGTTTAATGATCCAAGGGCAAATTTATTATCAAATGAATACAACATTGTATCCAGAAGGAGAAAATGGGGTACCTAGCTATGGCCAACTGTTCATGGTAGATGCTCATGCAGCCAACCATTGTCGGATATCTGCAATGAACGAGTTGAATACTTCGATTTTGGATATACTTGACAAAGTTATTCGTGAAAATAATAAATTCGTCAGTGCGTATTACATGATGAAAGAAGTAATAGAGATGGAGGAAGAGAGATGTGCCCAATCTGGAACGCCGATGCCAGAGATAAAAATGATTTTCAATAGCAAAAAAAAAAAACGGATAAACATCGATACAATCCCCAAAGAACGAATGAAGTAGCTGCGGTTTTCTCAACTACTGCAGATGGAGAAATCCCTGAATCTTACATGACTATAGTTGACCGAGAAGATAAAAAATTGACATTTATCAGCTCTATGGTTAGGTATATTGAACCGTGGATTTATCCATTTCAAAAGAATTTCTCGATCGGCATACGTGAAGAATTAAATTGCAATTAGAAATACATTCAATCCGATTCTTAAAGGTCGTAAATTATTTCAACAATGGATAGTCGACAATTATGTCAAAGTAGAGAGAGATCACACAACTTTTATTAGAAATAACCAAAAGAAACTCAGATGTGAGACGTATCAGTGTCTCATACATTACTTGGAGAGAAAAGGAGAAGAAAGCGATCTTAGAGTTGGAAAGATTGTCATTTTACCCTCAACATTTATAGGTTCACCACGTAATATGGCTCAGAATTATCAGGACGCCATGGCAATTGTCAGGAAATTTGGTAAACCAGATCTCTTCATCACTATGACATGCAATCCGAGATGGCGAGGAATCATAGAAAATCTTGATGCTGGAGAACAACCGTGTGATAGACCAGAGATAGTTGCGCGTGTTTTCGATTTAAAAAAAGATTATTTAATCAATTTAATTATACTCGAGGAAATATTTGGGGCAGTTTTAGCATGGGTTTATGTTATCGAATTTCAGAAACGTGGTTTACCTCATGTTCATATGCTGGTTAATTTAACAAGAGATTATAAACTAACTCATCCATGTATAGTAGACAAATTCATTTGTGCTGAAATACCTGACAGAGAAGAAGAACCAGATTCGTATAATATAGTCATGAAAAATATGATTCATGGACCATGTGGTGATTGGTGTTTGGTGGATAATAAATGTTCCAAGCATTTTCCAAAAGGTTTCCAGGATGAAACTGCAATGGATGACGATGGATATCCCTGTTATCGTAGAAGAGATACAGA